CCTACGACCACAACTGGACCAACCACAACAGGCCCTACGACCACAACTGGACCAACCACAACAGGCCCTACGACCACAACTGGACCAACCACAACAGGCCCAACGACCACAACTGGACCAACCACAACAGGCCCAACGACCACAACTGGACCAACCACAACAGGCCCTACGACCACAACTGGACCAACCACAACAGGCCCAACGACCACAACTGGACCAACCACAACAGGCCCAACGACCACAACAGGCCCTACGACCACAACTGGACCAACCACAACAGGCCCAACGACCACAACTGGACCAACCACAACAGGCCCTACGACCACAACTGGACCAACCACAACAGGCCCTACGACCACAACTGGACCAACCACAACAGGCCCAACGACCACAACAGGCCCTACGACCACAACTGGACCAACCACAACAGGCCCTACAACCACAACTGGACCAACCACAACAGGCCCTACGACCACAACTGGACCAACCACAACAGGCCCTACGACTACAACTGGACCAACCACAACAGGCCCTACGACCACAACTGGACCAACCACAACAGGCCCTACGACCACAACAGGCCCTACGACCACAACTGGACCAACCACAACAGGCCCTACGACCACAACTGGACCAACCACAACAGGCCCAACGACAACAGGATAATCTACACCAGGCCCAACGACCACAACTGGACCAACCACAACAGGCCCAACGACCACAACAGGCCCAACGACCACAACAGGATAATCTACACCAGGCCCAACGACCACAACTGGACCAACCACGACAGGCCCTACGACCACAACTGGACCAACCACAACAAGCCCTACGACCTCAACTTGACCGCCCACATCAGGCCCAACGACCACAACAGGACCACCCGCATCGGGTCCAACGACCACAACAGGATAATCTACACCAGGCCCAACGACCACAACTGGACCACCCACACCAGGCCCTACGACCACAACAGGACCACCCACATCAGGCCCAACGACCACAACAGGACCACCCACATCAGGTCCAACGACCACAACTGGACCACCCACATCAGGCCCAACGACCACAACAGGACCACCCACATCAGGTCCAACGACCACAACTGGACCACCCACATCAGGCCCAACGACCACAACAGGGCCACCCACATCAGGCCCAACGACCACAACAGGACCACCCGCATCGGGCCCAACGACCACAACAGGACCACCCACATCAGGCCCTACGACCACAACAGGACCACCCGCATCGGGCCCAACGACCACAACAGGACCACCCACATCAAGCCCAACGACCACAACAGGACCACCCACATCAGGCCCAACGACCACAACTGGACCACCCACATCAGGCCCAACGACCACAACAGGATAATCTACATAAGGCCAAACGACCACAACTGGACCACCCACATCAGGCCCAACGACCACAACAGGACCACCCACATCAGGGCCAACGACCACAACAGGATAATCTACATCAGGCCCAACGACCACAACTGGATAATCTACATAAGGCCAAACGACCACAGCAGGACCACCCACATCAGGGCGAACGACTACAACAGCATAACCAAACACAACTACGTAAAAAATGTCATGTGCAGTCGTATACAGCCATGTGCAGGTGGTTTGTCTTCATGTATATTTCCCGTTTTCTTTAAATGGTTTAGTTTGTAATGACGCGATTTGTATTTATCGCCATCATTTGAAATGTATAAATTAACCCTGACTGAATGTTAGTTATTTTGGTAATTAAAGAGATATAAATGCACCGAGGGAAAAGATCATATATTGAACTCCCTCTCCTCATTCTGCACGGTTTTGTTTGAAATAAATGACCCCAGCAAATAGCTTAGAGTTTAAGTCTCCATCCTTCAGTTCTACATGAGAAACATATACAAGTGCTTGAAAATCATTTTTTTTTTTTTTTTTACTTCACGCCATCAACAGCAGAATCAACATCCACAACTGAGCCAACATCCATAACAGCGAAGCCAATAATTATAGCAAAAGAGCCAACATCTACAATAATTGAGCCAATAACCACAGCTATTATTTTTAGTTTTTATTACCGTCGCCTTCCTGTTAGACGTGGATCACGAAACCAGTGCTCGAATACACGATAAATGAGAATAAGGAAAATGAAAAATAAGGAAAGTGAAAAATAAGTAAGAATATAAATTAATCGACGAAAGATATATGGGCCATACTATAAAAGTTTCGGGAAAGGGGTGGTGATCGCTTACCACGAAACGACACCCTCAGCAGGCGATCCTTAGCCCGTATTTTCGCCAGATTTGTTATTGCTATCTTCGAATGACGCAAGAAATCTGAATATGTTTACCCTGTCGCACAAATCACCATAGGTAGAAAAGCCGATCCTCAAAAAATTGCCTTAACAATGCCCAGCGTTGTCTGGACCTAGTGTCTGAGGAGTGTTGCAGGACAGGACTCAAGATCTCAGTAGCCAAATCTAAAGCCATGGCTCTGAGAAGACGAGTTCAAGGCACAAGCCTGAGAATCCAGGGAGCAAACTTGGAATGGGTCCCGGTGTTCCAATACCTTGGGGTATGGGTAGACCGGACCCTCTCCTTCCGACAGGAGACCGAGTACCTGGTTGACCGCTGCAAATCAAGACTGAGCGTCATGAGAGCAATGACCGGGAAACGCATAGGAGCCAGGCACAAAGTACTCAGATCCTTCTATGTACATGCTGTCAGGCCCCTTGTGGATTATGCCTCAGTCGCCTTAATTGGCAGAAAGCAAAAATACAGAGAAAAATTGGAAACAGTCCAAAATGAAGCTGCCAGAATCATTCTGGGTGCCCCGAGGTGGACAAAGATTCCCAACCTCCTAATGGAGGCCAACCTTTTCCCCCTGGACTCACGAATCGATCAAATGGCAGCCAACTTTTTTGCAAAGGTCATCCAGACTCCCAGGAACACTAGCCTAAGAGAAAAACTAGTGAGACGCCTGGAACAAGACAACGAGCTGTTCGCCAACAACTCGTGGCTGTCCCACACAGCCAGAGTACTGATAAGGTTTGAGCTGAAAGAGCAGCTTCTCACCAAGGGTATGGACTCCCCCCACCCTGGCTTTGTCGAAGCCCCGCCGTGGGCGACAAACTCGATAGAGTTCTCGGTGATGAAACTACCGCTGAAAAAGAGCGAATATCCCACGCCTGGTCTAAAGGCAGAGACCTACAGGGTCATATCAGCCATCACCCCCCCCGGGTAGTAGAACCTACTACACAGACGGATCGGTCGATCCAACCAACCACACTGCAGGCGCCGGCTTTGCAACAAGGGATGCCATGCGCTCCATGAGAGTGCCTGACAACGCCTCCTCGCTACAGGCAGAGGCCGTTGCGATCATGGGAGCCCTAGCACACGCGTCCTCTGGGGAAGGACACGTAGTCATACATACTGACTCTAGGGCAGCCATAGACTCTCTCAAGCTCAGCTCACCCAAAGACAATATCTACCTCCTGACCACGATTCTGACACTAGCACACAGAATATTGGCTCAGGGTAGAAGAATTGTCCTTAACTGGGTCCCAAGCCATATAGGGATCAGAGGAAACGAACTTGCTGACAGACTAGCAGTCTCTGGCAGGGGTATGCCCCCTAGTCCCATGATCTTACCACCTAGCCGTACTTTACTTCGGAGGAAGTGTACTGGTGTCGCCAACTCCTTCCTCCTGCAGCTTCACAGAGAGACAACGAGAACCTCCCACTCGGCCAGATGGTATTCAGAAGCGACAGGCTATGAACCTCTGGCACTCTCTGAATTAAAGAACAGAGGTACCGAAGTCATTCTCCACAGAATGCGCCTAGGTTACCACTGTACTTGGCAGATAATTGAAAACCTTGACCGAGAAGCGAGGTGTTGCATGCATTGCGGCGAGCCGAACGCCACACTTATACACTACCTAGAGAATTGTGTTCACACACAATTCCTGAGACAAGAACCGCCGACAACAGCCGCCGTGCTGGTAAAGAGACTTTGCAATTCGCTTACCCTGTGGCAGCAGGAACGCCTCTTGGCAATCCCACCGCCACGGTAAGCGTCGAGTTACACAGATTAAAATGAGTCAGCCCTAAAAAGCTGACACAGGCCGGGCCATAGCCGAAGGCCCGGGCGAAGCCAGACTTCGCAAAACTCAATTGCATTGCATCCTCAAAAAATTGAGGTAACATGTTCAAAAGCAAACATCGCACAATCAAATATCTTGTGCAATTAAAAAAAATTACAAACCTAAATTGGGTATAAAACTCACTAAATGTATAATAGGCTAGAACAGTTGGAGGAATGTTATCACGAAAAAATGGCTACGTTAAGGGAGAAAATAACTAGGCACCTGGGTTATTCATGTCCCGAGGTTTAGTGCTTTTTTGTGTGGTATAAATCTCAGTCTGGCTGAAGTTCCAGAGCTTATATATCTTTGTTCAGTTTTGGATGAATATTTGAAAGGTTATTTGATCAACTATGTGTTAGGGATCTAGGTGAAGGTATAGGCAAGATCTGTTTCCTTTAGTCTATTCCGGTCCAAGAGGAACACAGAACATTAGTGGAAGTCAGCGGGCTGCCACGCTGCCTGGGAAAACATGTTGTACCGATACACATTATTGACGACTCCCACACTATGATTATCATGAGATATTTATCCTCGTTCTATATATGTTTATACCATCATATTTACACATATTTTAAAAGACTACGGCAGGACCATCAGACATATTCATTAGTTGCAAATGTAATTGCAATAAGCAGAACTTTGTTGGTTTAATGACGGAATCATTCTTATTTTTCTTTATTTATTGATCACAAGTTGCTGCTACATCAAAACTGTCATCAATTGTTAACTGTGGCCATCCATCGACAGTGTTATCAAGACCTGCATGTGAGGTGGTACTGGTGACCCTGAAGAGAATCACTCCATATTTCAGAATCTGACAATCAAAACCATTTACCATACTCTAATTACAGCAAACCGTCTATCTATCTATCTATCTACATATATATACATCAGTACAGCATCCATAATCACTGTTATATTTAAGTAATTATGAACTTGCCCATTAATCAATGTATCTAAGTCTATATACTCTGATATCAACGGCAATATGAATTCCTTCATACTTTAGAGCCCTTAATATACTATAGTTATCATAACTCAAACAAGTGTTATAATATATATATATATATATATATATATATATATATATATATATATATATATATATATATATATATATATATATATATATGTATGTATGTATTTGTGTGGGTATGTATGTATATTCCTGTCAGTTATGATGGCCTTCAGCATGATCTTCCAGAGTTTCCAGACAATATATCCACAACTGCTGCTGTTTGTGAAGCATAGTATACACTGTTAAATCTTTTGTGATTTCATAAATTCACAAGGTTAATGGAAATATTTCTTAAGTGCTGGAGTTAGACATTAAAGTTACAGATAGACTAGAATACGTGGAAAGGGAGTGAAATATATTTTGGAAATTATTGGGTATACACTATCTATATATCTATATCTATATCTATATATAAATATATATATACATGAATATATATAAATATATATATAAATACACACACACACACACACACACACATATATATATATATATATATATATATATATATATATATATATATATATATATATATAAATATATATATGATATATATATATATATATATATATATATATATATATATATATGTATATATATATATATATATATATATATATATATATATATATATATGAGAATTAGTGCGATAAATCTTTAAAATCAAATATCCTAACAATTCTTTATGAATTCCATTTCTCTCTTAAAACCCTTCCACAGTAGTGCGTTATCAAGTGACGGCTACGACCTCCACTCCTGGCAAGCAAACTTACATGTATTTTGGGAAGACATTACTTTCCGATCAGGTAATTTATCCTAAAATTTAGTCCAAGAACTATGATGTCCAATACACATTAATAAGTTTTTTGGCCTTTGCGCGGTGTCCTGGATTCGCTAATATCAAGTTTGGTCGCACATGCCAGAACTTCACTGATTTTTTTTTTTTTTTTTTTTTTTTTTTTTTTTTTTTTTTTAAGGTGTGGAAAACGAGTTTTATCACATTTATAAATCTTTCCAGATATGGCAACTATGGTTGTCAACATTTATTTTACCTGATATATGTGATTATTCGAGGGGTAAGAGCCATTGTTTTCACATTTCCCATATTCATAAATCAACAAAGCATAGATAAATACTTCAAAAGACATAATATTTATAAAAAAGAGATGGGTATTGTTTTTTGGGAGATCGTCCGGCGAAGAGTCTGGCATTCTCTGCTACATTTTTTTTTTTCATAACACGACCGTACGGCTTAAAGAACATTATGTACAAAAGCATACAAACAACAACTCTCAGCCCAAAACGAAGAAGTGACGACAGAAAATCGTGACTAAAAGCACAGACCGTTCTTCATTCGTTTCGGCAAGTCGTTCCTAACCTTTTTCTTTTGTGGGCCCGTCCGATATATAATAATATCCATGGACCCTATAGTATCTATTATCTTTTCAGATTCAGTTTTACTAGTTATAAATACGGTGATGCTACCAATAGCCACTGTCACTACCACGTGTTCCTAATTTCTTCAACTTGCATGGTACTTTACCCACAAAACGTATTATATTTTCCGTGTAGGAGCATTTCCGTTATGAGTGCTACGCGATTCAATTTCTGTTTTATGCAACTGCACATATAGACCTTTTCGGTCTGACGTCACAGCGTGTGTTGTCAATAGCAACCATTTCGTACTGGGTGAAAACAACCTGGTTTTCAATACGCGACATACTGATTTACC